GTCGTAGTGTTGGAGAAGAGTATTGCATACACCACTGACTGCCATGAGAACAAACAAGTTTATCTTGAATAGGGTAAAACCAGGCTATTCCTTGAAAACAAGGACTTTGGAATCTGTCTCACATACATTTTGTATGTTGGCAGGAGGGACCAGTCTTTGGACATGATGCTTGGGAGGATAGAGGGACAACGTAAGAGAGGAAGACCCTGGATGAGAGTGATTGACTCAATGACTAGGGTAATGGGAATAGGTGTGTCAGAGACAGTAACTGGTTAAGACAAAGCAGAATTCAGAGTTAGTGTACACTGGTTTGTTATGAGTCACAGGTGACTCAATGGCACATCACAATAACTGCAACAACAACCAAGTGATCCCTTGCTCTGTTCACACAAAAGCATCCTGGTCAAGGTTTAGGTTTCACATGACCATAATTAAGAGATTAATTAACGTTCTATGATTCCCATTCTTCTCAATGTTAGGCATAATTTTTTATGATTCATACAGTCAAATGCCTTTGCACAGTCAATAAAACATAAATAGACATTCTTATGGCATTATTTACTTTCATCCAAGATCCATCTGACATCAGCAATGTTATTGCTGGTGCTCCAATCTCTTCTGAATCCAATTTTAACTTCCTGACAATGCCATGTCTATGTACTGTCCTAAACATTTTTTAAATGAAGTTCAGCAGTATCTTGTGTGCAGATGATATTAATGATGTTGTTTGATAATTTCTACATTCTGTTGGATCATCAGAATCATCTGAAGAATAGGTGTGAAGCATTGAACACCAATGACTGAAGATCAGATTAGTTATGGATGACAACAAGGATATCATCCATAAAGAGCAAAAGGTCACTAAAAAGACAGAGAAATTAAAAAAAAACAACAACACCCAAAATGGGTGTCAGAAGACACCCTGAAAATTTCACTGGAGTGTTAAGAAGCCAAAACAAAGGGAAAAGATGTGTTGAAGAAAAATATTTGAATAAAAGATTTCAAAGGGCAGCTCTGAAAGACAAAGTATTAGAATGTGCAGAGACCTAAAATCAGAGAATAAAAAGGGATGAACTCATTTGCCATCTCTCAAGCTGAAAGAACTAAAAAACAAATGCAAGCCTCAAGGTGTAATATTGAGAGACATTATGGGCATCAAACATCTTGAATGATGGAGGAAATACACAGAATCATTCTAAGAAAAAGAACTGGACAACACAGAAATATTTAGGAAGTATCATATGTCAAGAGCCAATGGTAAGGAAGGAAGAAGTTCAAGCTGTAATGAAGGCACTGGCAATAACTAAGACCCCAGGAATCAATGGGCTATCAACCGACATGTTCCAAAAGACAGATGCAGCCCTGAATGTACTCACCAGTTCACACCAGGAAATCTGGAGGTCAGTTGTTTAGTAGACTGACTAGAAGAGATTCATATTTGTTCCCATCCCCATGAAAGGTGATCCAACAGAATGTGGAAATTATCAAACAATATCAATAATGTTAAGTGGTATTTTATGAAATTGTTGCTCCTAAGTGCTCCATAGTATTCCACTGTGGGAATGTACCATAATTTCTAAATCCATTCGTTTGTTGATGGATATATGTGCTTGCTACTGAGAAAACACTGCTATAAACATGGGTGTATAAATCTTCATTTGTGTCTCAGTTCTATTTTCCTTGGGGTATATTTCTTGTAGGGTATAGGTGATTGATGTGGGATTTCTATGTTCACCTTTTTGAGAAAAGCCAAACTGCCTTCCAGAGTGGTTGTACCATTTTACAATCCCACCAATAGTGCAGGAGTGTTCCTATTTCTTTACATCCTCTCCAACATTTATTGCTTGCCATCCTGTTAAATTTTATAGTTTTAAATGAAACAATCTGACAGATCCTAAACAGATTTACAGAGAAATATTACCCCCATTGCTAAGAAATCTTTGGCAACTTCTCCATAGGACATGCATGAGTTAGAATTTGCATCACTAAATTGTTTTGTTGGTGCTCACTCTTTAGTCCCTACAAAACCAAAAATACAATGTTATTCAGTGTTGAGTTGTGAATAATCTGCTTTTCTCCTCATTATCACCTACAATAGCAAATAAGAGATCTTCCCCACTGTTGCTAGGTGTGTCAAAATTGATGTTGACTCCAAGTGACCTCTTGTGATAGGCTATAGCAGCCCTATAACATTTGTTAGACTATAATTTTTATGGAAGTACATCTTCAGGTCTCCACAGACCTGCTGACTTTTGAGCTCTTAATCACTGCACCACTCTAGGTCCTTATATTCTCCCTAGAAGAATGGAAATCACACTTTCTGGTGAATGGGGTCACTGTGTATTAATAGATAAGGCAGAGCTTCTGCTTTCTTACTGATGGATTGGTGACAGCTGAGCCAAACTGACCCCTCATCCTGCCCTTTCCCTGCTTCCAGTCACAGCTGTGTTGGGATACATCTGTTGTTCTGAGTTCAGCCACAACCCTGGTAATAAGATTCACACTGGTGGCCAGGCAAAGAAGTATTTAAGCCTTGAACTTAAACATTGTATCTGACCCAATATTATCAGATAAGTTCTGCAAGAGAATATCAAACATTCACATAGTTCTATAACAACAGCACTTCAGACTTGAGGGAAAGACTACCAATGGCGATTCTCTTATAACATCATTTTTTTTTTATAACATCATTTTTTTAGCACACCAAACTTACTACAATACTCACTAGCAATGACAATGATGTAAACAATGGTGACTCTTCACATGAAAACTACTTGAATATTTATAGATTGGGGTTACAGAATTTTAGAAAGCCACAGAGTATATGGATGACCTTGCATCTACACAAAAGATCATGAAAGTAACAAATCATTACTGCCCAATATTAAAATACTTTATTCATTGGCAAATAACCATCATCACCCATTTTAAAAAGATGTTAGTACCTTTTTCCCATAGGTTATACTTATCCAACACACTAAGATTTTTTATAGTCCAATATTCCCAGTTACTATATTGCCTAAGAAGAATGATGAGGCATAGAAAAGCCTGTACTTTCTTCCCATAAAAACAATCACTGCCTAAGGCTAAGGACTTCATTTTGCTATTCTCAGTAAATAGTAAATCACAGAATACATTACACAAAATCCTAAAAAGATCTTAACACTGAATCGGATTACTTAAAATATAAAAACCTTCAATAATTTTAAAATCCAGGATAGAAACCGGAAATTAGAATTTCATACTAAGACTCACACTTAATATTTTTCAAATGGAAAAAGATTATGTAAGTGTTTTCTTACTTTTCTTTCCTACTGCCCAGCTGGCGAACAGTATATTGATCTGCATAGTCAATTAGCACCAGTTGTCGAGAAAAGATATTCACTTTGTTGCCTATAAATAAATCTTCCAAGCGCAGGCTTTCATACTTGGTCCGCTTTAAAAATGTACGACGATTCTTTACATCATGCTAGAAAAGACATTAACACAACAAAGCAGGTAATCTTTTTATAAACTAGGGACAGTTCTCAAATCTGTCTCCTAAAAGATAAATGGCACTCTTTTATTTGTAAATAATACTTCTTATATAACAATTTCTGTTTTCATATTCTAAGCTAATAAAAATCTAAACATTTCTTATTACAAACTTACTACTACAAAGGAGAAAAGACTTGAATATATAAAGTTTAAGGGGGGGGTTTGCCCAATCACTTTAGTAAATCAGTGACTATAAAATCCTAAATCCAAAACTCTGTATTCTTGTCTATACAAAATCGCAACAAAAAACAAGTCTATTTGTAAAAAGGAGTTGCCAGTGAAAGCACACATATAAATAACCGGACTCTCCTAGCTTAATCTTCTTCATTATGAAAATTTATAGAGATAGTTGTTGTTCTTGTTGTTGTTATGTGCCGTCGAGTCGCTTGCAACTCATCGCAACCCTGTGTACAACAGCCCTAAACCCTGATCTATCCTGTGCCAATCGCACTGCCCCTGACACACCCATCCCAATTACCCCAGTCACTGAATCAATCCACCTCATAGAGGGTCTTCCCCTCCTGCGCTGTCTCTCCACCCTACCAAGCACGATGTCCCTCTCCAAAGACCTGTCTCTCCTTACAACATGTCCAAAGTATGTCAGACGAAGCCCCAGAATCCTTGCCTCCAAGGAGTAGCCTGGTTTAACCCTCTCTAGGATGAACCTGTTTGTTTTCTTGGCTGTCCAGGGTACATTCAATACTCTTCTCCAGCACCACAGCTCAAAGGCATCAATTCTCCTTCTATCCTCCCTAGTCACTGTCTGATGCATAACAAGTTACTGCAAAGACCGTGGCCTGTATCAGGTGCACCTTAGTCTGTAGAGAGACACCGTAACTCTTGAGTACTTTAGAGAGGTCCCTAACAGCAGACTTTCCCATAACAATAGCTTTCAATAGTTATGATATATTTATAAAATTCACTGCAGTCTAGTCAACTCTAACGCTTACAACTCTAACGGTTTACAATGTTGTCAACTTTGCCAAAGCAGATTATCTCATTACTATCTGGAGAATTTAAACCATTGAATTTGAGATTAACCACGTGTTTCACTATGCCATCAGGGCTCCTTTGACATATTTATAGCATGTCATAAATAATAATCTTTCTTGGTAATCATTTACTTTAATCCAAGACATGAATAAAATTCCTTAATCCAAAACATGTATAATCCTATTTCAGTTTTCTTACAAAAAATATTAATTCCTGGATTTGATATTAAAAATAAAGCTGCAGAATAACCTTTCATAATGCAATTATAATGAATATAAAAAGAATTCCCACTTAAAATATATATGCAAACACAAAATCATAGTTTTAAAGCAACTATGTAAGAAGCAACCCTAAGCCTCTTCATAACCCCCTTCATCTCCTGTGCCCACTGTCAAGTAAGAAGGACTCAGTTACCATTTCAACGGATCCATCCACTGGGTAATATAAAAGCTCATAACGCCGAAAAAGTGCAGCATTTGGATCATACCACTCTGCAATGAAAGCATATCTTTCACAGTGGGCCTGCAAAGAAAGATAGCAAATCTTAATAATGACACATAAAATGTATGCACTCTTACAAAATGAAAGCAAAAATCACCAACTACTTTTGACAAATTTGTTATTACTTACTTATTATAGTGAATTCTTTCACTTTTCAATAATATAATAACAGGTTTCAACACATCTTCATAAATTATTCCATCTAATTTCTCATCAAATATTCTTAGACATCTCAAAGATAATCTGTGGACTGTTTTAAACTGCACAGCTATCTAATCGTTCTGAGTAAATTAACATTTGACCTCATTTGATTACTGTAATAACTCAAAGGCCTTCTAAAATAAGTTTACATTTAAAAAAGACTAGGAACAAACTAATATAAAGAAATATATCTGAGTAGAAAGCTCTCAATTACATGAAGTTGTACCTTTGCTACATTGAAGAATCTAGTTAGAATCTCAAGAGCACTGATGACAGAAGAATAAAGTGCACCTGACTCAGGCCACGGTCTTTTCAATCACCTGCTATGTGTTAGAGAGGTGGACAATGAATAAAGATGACAGAAGAACTGATGTGTTTGAGTAGTGGTGCTGCAGATGAATATTAACTATCCTATAAGCTGCCAAAAGAATGAACAGTAATGTCTTAGAAAGGACAAAGCCAAATTGCTCCTTGGAGGAGCATTCATGACAAAGCCTCATCTTCCATACTTTGGACATATAGCTGGATGATGCTATTTGTTGGAAAAGGACATCATACTTGGTAAGATAGAGGGTCAGTTAAGGAGACAGACTGACATGGTGACTTCAGCTATGGGCTCAGTTGTGTTAGAAGTAATGAGGATGGCACAAAATAGGACTGAGTTCAGGCCAGCTGTTCATAGAGTTACTATGAGTCATCCTCGACTTGAAGACACCCAACAACACAACTAGTTGGATGTCACATTCCTTAGGTATTTTGTCAGGAGGGACCAATCCTCAAAGGACTTGTAAAAGTAAAGGGTCAAAGAAAGAAAAGAAGATCCTCAATGAGAAAGACAGATTCACACAGTGACTGTGACAATGGACCTGAGCACAGAAGATTGTAAGGATGGCACAGGATAGGCCAGGGATCCGTCCTGTTGGATACAGGGTCAGAACCAACTTCATGATCCTAACAAGAGGTTGGATTTCTGCCAACTAGATACATTCTTGTTGCTATCACAGAGAAGATTTTTGCAGTCTGTCAAAGCTTGGCTTATCTTTCCCTTGACTATTAGCCAAG